TTTAATATGTTTCTAGTGGAAATAAAAATATAGTAAACAGTCTCTTGATCACATACCGAAGAGTTACATACTAATTAATCCATGTATTAAAGACAAAAATAACAATTTTGAATTACTTTATTAACTATACAGTATTATATCAATCCAATCAATAATAGGTACCCTAGAATGAATAAGATTTTTTAATTGTAAATGTTTTGCAGGCATAAATAAACACCTAAATAGAAAGAAAAGTTACAGTGGTAAAATTACAGGAGGTAAAATCCCCATTTTGGTATAATGTAGGGATCGAAACATACCTGCTCATAATTTTTGGGAATTCGATGCATTTTTACTCTGTTCCCTCGGCTTTCACACATTGCCACACAACAAGATAAAACTATTTTGTTTTGAACGGAGAAAATTTTCAATCTCTGATTCAAATTATTGAATAAAAATTAAATGTGTCAAAATTTGTCAAAATATGATGAAAAAGTGAAAGTGAAGCGACGCTGCCAAATGTCAAAAGCATGGGATATTTCTCTTGAAAAAGAAATGTAATTTCAAATCGTACTACTGGCAATTATATGTTAGCGAGGCACATGACTTTTTTTCCATTGTTGGGAGCTTTTTAAAACAAATGGACTGTACTTTTTATGTATAAATCTGACAACAGCATTGGACGACAGCGCCTCTGCCGTCTGTAGTCGCAAGCTTTTAGCGGGAAAAATTGCGCCATAAGAGTTGCACATGCATGCCCTATACCTAAGTTCAACTGTTTTGAAAATATTGACAGTTGAAAATTGACTTTTTGCAACTTTGACAGGCTGTAAAACCTGACCGGTTAATTTTAGAGGAAAACTGATTTTACATTCCTATCTTAGATTTTTATAAATTATCATTTGACACCAACTTTGAATTAAATCCATGATTAAAAATTCCAGTTAAATTTAATCTCCGGTTAAGTTCAAAGTTGGTGTCAAATGATAGTTTATAAAAATCTAAGATAGGAATGTAAAATCCTCTAAAATTAACCGTTCAGGTTTTACAGCCTGTCAAAGTTGCAAACAGTCAATTTTCAACTGTCAATATTTCCAAAACAGTTGAACTTAGGTATAGGGTATATCACATGAAATCTGCTCAGAATTTTACGTAGAATTCAAATATGCAATCACATACAGGGTGTTCCATTTAAAATAGCGATGTTGCCACTAGTTTAGAGTAGGAGCGGCAACACCGCATGGTCAAAAATATTTTTAAAGTGTAGATCATGATCATTTATCCTGGTTGCCAAATTTTCAAAATCATCCGCTTTTTAGTTCTCCATAAACGTCTAATACGCCATCCATCGTGGGACACCCTGTATATTATGGAATGATCATGTAATGATAGCCATTAAAACACGAGCATGTTGTAGGATACGAAACGAGCCGCAGGCGAGTTTCGTATATAACATGCGAGTGTAATAATGGCCATTACATGAGAGTTGCCTCAACTATTTTTTTTCTACTTGCATTAATAAACGAAAAACATATGTATTTTATAAGAATAGTAAACTTCTCAACTGGTGACAATTGTTGACAACTTGACAATTTCAAAAATTAAGATCTATGATTAAGATACATCAATAAGTGTAAATCAATGACCATCTCAAATATCAATCATGAGTTGAATTTCAATTACCAACTCCAATCTAGTTCTCTTTTGAAAGTTGACTCAATCCGGGATCTGGGGGTGGTGATCGACAAAAAGCTCACATTCAATGACCATATTGATCAAATTGTGCATTCATCATTGAAAACCCTGGGGTTTATTATTAGATCAACAAGAGAGTTTAAGAACATCGACAGTCTCATCACGTTGTACAACTCTTTGGTCAAGTCTAAATTGCAGTATGCTTCTCTGGTGTGGTTTCCTTACCATCAAGTACATGTGGACAGGCTCGAATATGTTCAACGGCGATTCCTAAAGTATCTAAGTTTCAAAAAGGATGGAATTTACCCTCCAAGAGGATTTGACCACCAGTTGTTACTCAACAAGTTCAACTTCCTCTCACTTCAACAGAGTACAATTTTAGCAAGTCAACTCTTTCTTTTTAAATTATGTAACAACCTGGTGGACTCTCCAGATCTTCTAAACAGCCTTAATTTTTCTTTACCAGTAGTCAACAAACGCTCCCACCGCAAATTCTATTTGGAAAATCGCCCCACATATCTTGCCAGAAATGAGCCAATCTATCGAGCCTGCTCATACTTCAATCACCTGCAGAACAGTATCGATGTAGACTTATTTGTAGGTTCAGTAAACTCTTTTAAAAAAAATATCTTGCCAGTGGTTCGCAATCTGTGATAATGTATTTACTGTGATAATTGTCCTGGCGGAAGTATGGAAGGGGGACTATTTCTATCTCTATTTTTATTTCCTATTTTAACTGAGTAAACAATGCTAGTTTTTCTCATTATTTTTATTTATTTTTTTATTTTTATTTATACTTATTTTTATCTATATTTTTATTTTTATTTTTATTTTTATTTTTATTTTTATTTTTATTTTTATTTTTATTTTTATTTTTATTTTAATTGTTGTTTTTAGTTTCATAGTTGTTTTTATTTTTGTTTTAGGCTTCTTATTAGTTTTCTGGATCTCATGTGTGATATAATCTTAGCTTTTAAATTTTCATATTTTTGTTCGCTCTTAAGTGCACTAATTGTCTCATTATTGGGAGTATGTATTCCTGTTAGACAATAAAGAATTGAATTTGAATTTGAATTTGAAAATCTGTTTCATAATGAAGTTCATTATGAAACAGATTTTAGGCGTATTATGAAACGTCAGTAGAAAATAGTTATTTATTATACAAGGGAAAAAAGTACTAGATTTTAGCGCGAGGTGTGGTTTGTCTCCCGACGCGAAGCAGAGGGAGACAACACAGCGAGCGCTGTATAATACACTATTTTTTTCTGTGACGGGAAAATCTCAACATTTTCCATCTATACATTATTCCCTTTGTTTTTGACTGGTACCTGTTACTTTTTTCCCTTGGGAAAAAAAAATTGACTGGTACCTGTTACTTTTTTCCCGTGGGAAAAAAAATCACTTTTTTCCCATGGGAGAAAAAGTGACATTTTTGCCCCTGTCAACAGGTACAAAAAGTCTACTTTTTTTCCGTCACAGAAAAAACATATTTATTTTATAAGAATAGTAAACTTCTCAACTGGTGACAATTGTTGACAACTTGGCAATTTCAAAAATTAAGATCTAGACGTCATTTGGGCATAAATTCCGCACCCGATTTATTTATTTTTTGTTGTTTCTTCTGGTAAATACTAATAGAAACAATCCAAAATTTCAAAGCAAGTCTGTTATTTTTATATAAACATTGTTTATGTTCAAAATACTCGATTCCAGTGGCTGAAAAATCTGTATTATAATGAAGGTCATTATGAAACAGATTTTAGATGTATTATGAAACATCAGTAGAAAAAATAGATTAAAACATCCCATTGACACAAAAAGTATGCATTTGTGTACCTCATATATTTTATGTCATACCAGTACAATATAGTCTTTTTATACCTTAGATAACATCTACATAATTCATCACTTTATGCCAGTGCAGGCATAAAGTATACATTCTGGCCCGCGCGGGCATAATGTACCATTCTAAACATCAGGTTGACAATTACGCCACAAATGACGTCGTTTGCGTGTACGCAAAGTTGCATCGATTTCAAATAAAGTCCCCCTAGTATGACATAATAGTACATTAAAATACAAGTTTCATAAGACGTCATTTTATCGCACGAGCCCTATATTAGAAAACGAGCCGGAGGCGAGTTTTCTAAAGGGCAAGTGCGATAAAATGTCTTATGAAACGGATATTTTATAATATTTTTTCTATTTTGGTATTGTTTAATTTAAAAAAAAAACTTTTCTTGGAAATTTTATTCTCATATTTCCTGATTTCATATTATTAGGTTGGTGACACTACATGCCAAATATAGAAATCTTCTATTATTTTTTATCGCGAATGACAGTTCGATGGCCATCAGTCAGCCAGTGTTACCAACCTTCGATAAGTAAAAAAGGAGTGTCACAAAGAGCTTCTTTTCGAAACTACTTTTAGTGTCGAAAAGACTTCGATGTGACACCAAAATAGAAAATAGTACATTAAAATACAAGTTTCATAAGACGTGATTTTATCGCACGAGCCCTATATTAGAAAACGAGCCGGAGGCGAGTTTTCTAAAGGGCGAGTGCGATAAAATGTCTTATGAAACGAATATTTTATACTATTTTTTCTATTTTGGTATTGTTTAATTAAAAAAAACAAATTTTCCTTGGAAATTTTATTCTCATATTTCCTGATTTCATGTTTAGGTTGGCAACACTACACGCCAAATATAGAAATCTTCTTTTTTATTTTTATTTTTACCAATAATAAAATCGCAAATGACAGTTCGATGGCCATCAGTCAGCCAGTGTTACCAACTTCCGATAAGTAAAAAAGGAGTGTCACAAAGAGCTTCTTTTCGAAACTACTTTCAGTGTCGAAAAGACTTCGATATGAAACCAAAATAGAAAAAAGTTTGTATGCACCACGGGTACTAATAGATATATATACCCTCGGGCGACTTACGAACCCTCGGGCCAGAGGCCCTCGGCTTTGTAAGGCTGTCGCCCTCAGGGCATAATCATCTACTTAGTACCCTTGATACATAAATAACTATTCTATTTTGGTCCCAATATCATTATTTTTATTATTGTAGTTCTTTATCAAGCTTTATCAATAAATACCATGTAATTTGAACAATAAAGCATGTTTTGATTCAATTTAAAAGCAGCGATAAGATTGGAATCCTATCCTTGTGCAAAACACAGATAAGCATCACAAATGCAACAACATGAAATATGATAACTACATAATAAATGATATCATATGTGAGATAAGGTAGAGAAATTAAAAACATGCTTTCCTGGCAAATTATTTTGAATAAATATTATTTATATTTTTTTAATACCTGAATAGGAAAATAATTCACGCCATACATATCCAAGTCCTGGGCAATTTTCAAATATTCCATTTCAGCTTCATCTCTTGACATACCTATTCAAAGCAAACATGAACAACTTTTTATTAAGCAAATTAAATTCTTACCTCTATGATCAGCATACCAAACCCTAATCCTTTCCTCCCACATTTCCAAAGTCATTTGATACTGATCTATAACTCTTTGCGGCAACAAATCCTCACTGGCCAACATTCCAGGTTTGTAAGTGTCCTCATCGAAATCCCCAAACTAATAAAATAGATTATTTATTTATGAATTAATCAAAATTGGCAGAATTTTTTACTTTAGCTTGAACCGCATAGCTGGCTAATAATACTGAAGCCTCTGGAGGACAATAAATGTCCATAGACAAAATAGCCTGTTTCACTTGTAAGAAAAACAAATGTTGAGTTACTTCTTGTACTAATTCCTCGGCTACTTCTTCTGGATAGAATTTGGCTAGGAACATGAAGGAGGAGGTTTGGTGGCTCTTTTGTATACTTTGATCCTGAACTAAAAAATTATTTTGAAGTCAATTCCAGAAAAACAATGTGGGCACAAGAAGTCTACCTTTTTTGTCCAATTTAAGCCAAGAAATAAAACCTTTGGAATCCTCATATTGTAAGCCAAAGTACCAAGTTTCTCTTAGGCCTATGGTTCTACATACCAATTCGAATAGGTCTCTTCCAGTTGCTCGCCACTAATAAAAGAATGGTGTTACATGATGAATTTTTAATAAGTAGGTACAATAATAATGTCATGCAAATAATCTACTATAATTTAGAGTATGATATTACAATTGGACTATTTTAATTAATGTTCTCAACTTTGCACTCCTTTTAATTAATAACAATTGCTAAAATAATATGAAAACAACTTTCAAACCTCAAGATTAAACTCCAATTCGGCGTCCAATGTGCACACTTTAACAGGAAAAGATTTTCCACTTTTCTTTCTACGGAAAGGAGTCATCTTGTCGATCATAGTTTTTACTGAAACATTAATTATTTTAAATTAAAATATTACATTTTTTTTATTGTTTATTAACACAATTTTGTGTAGTACAAATATGTTGATTGACATGTTAAATGTCACTAGTGTCAATCAGCAACCAACATAAGGGCTGCTTCACAGTTTGCTACTTTTCTCTTTGAAAGTTTGTTGCTGCTATAATTTTTTAAGAATAATTTATTACAGACGACAAATCAGTTACAAACTGGCACCGAGGTCCTAATATACAAACCGTCATATGATACAAAATGTAACGGTTTTTTGAAGGTAAATGAAATCCTTATGGGCCAATTTCACTGTTTGACCATTGCCGCCATAGTGATTTTGAGAAACCGGCCCTAGGTCAAAAAACGAACCTAAACGTTAAAATCTTGTTAAAATCACCTTTTCTACATTGAAACGCCTGAGGATGAGCGATCCTGTTAGTTCAAGAATCTTGAGTTCGGTGAAACCTTCCGCGATGAAATCAGAGACATGAGTATGAAATGGACTGGGCGTACGGCACGAACAGTGATGTAAACATGGTAGGCAACCCTAACTGCACATTAGGGGCAGAAATCTGCGCCCACTTGTTATACGTTAGTGTTAGATACCTGTAATAAAACTATGCAGTTTAGCCGAAAAAAATTTTCGTACTCATTACACTCCAAACACTCAGTGGCGACGCCAGGGTTTTATGTTAGGAGGGGCCAGACTGGGCCAGAAAAATTGAGGGGGGGGCACTTTTTTCTATTTTATTGCTTTTCTTCTTTGGAATAAAGAATGGGAAGTACCTGTCAACACTTATATGTCTAGGGGAATCCCAGAGAAAAGCGAAAGCAGCATCGTGGATGCCTGTGCCCAAGAACACTTAACCTAGAACTGCTTAGCTTATTGAGCTGAAAATGTCTGCAATTTCAGCTGCAAATCTCAACCCTTGGCTTAAAATGCATTAGCCGAGTTTTAAACAGTATAGGTCAAAAAAACGAATTCCTAAACGTTTTATAATCTTGTTGAAATCACCTTTTCTTCATTTAAAATCGACGAAAAAACAAGTAGAATTCTACTTTCATGACGTCACACTTGACCTATTTATTGCGTACAGTCCGTACAGTACACGCGATGATGACGGTTGCTAGGCAACCTGACGTCATGAAAGTAGAATTCTAGTATAATTCTACTTATCGTGATCCCAGCCCTGGACAAGTAGAATTTCACTAGAATTCTACTTTCATGACGTCAGGTTGCCTAGCAACCGTCATTATCGCCTGTACTGTACGCGTTATATAGGGGTGACGTCATGAATGTAGAATTTTACTTGTCGTGATCCCCTGAATCGCAAGCATCCCATCGAGGCCTGCGGGTGACGTCATTACTATAAGCTGCTAATTGGTATTGACGTCACTCGCAGGCCCTGCTGACTCGAGAATTGGCGAACGTACGCCTTATGAGTATGAGCAATCCTGTTAGTTAACGATTCTTGGCCTTTACCCACCGAATTAACCAGCAGAGGCTGCTGATGTTGCATTGCATTGTTGCCGACAAGAGAGCAAGTTTTCAGGGGGGGCCAGCTAAATTTAAGTGGGGGCCCGGGCCCCCTCTGGTCCCCCCCTGGCGTCGCCACTGCAAACACTACACTCAAAAAAATTATAATATGTACCATGAGTGACATGAACATTCACAATTATTTTAAGGAGCTTGGTGATCATATATTAGACCAAGATCCTATTAATAATCATTCACTTCAGCTGATCAACGCAATTTTACGTGTTTATTTTCTCGTTAGAATCCATTATCAGAATAGGAAGCAAGTAGAATCACTGATAGAGTTAGGCAAATGTATAAAAAACTTGTAATTTTTAAGAACCAGTAGAATTAAAATCAGTTTTGCATCTAACTCCTAAATTTAAGTTTACATATAAGTATTTGTACCTTACAATCTAGTATTTTGTGCCTTTGAATTTGCCCAAGAATTGTTTAGGAATAACAAGTTTTATCTAACGTTTAAGTGTTCTTTTATTTTTTTGCCTCACATTAAAGCACGTCTGGTATTTAGTTTTTAATGATACACTATGGATAACTAATTATATGTCACCTTTAAATGAAATTATGTGTTATTTCTCGTTGTGGGTAATGCGCTTGTGTAGCTTCTTGCCCACAATGCGAAAGACTGGTTGCCTAACCATCTTTCCATCACTGCCGCGTACGGCAACTATACGGAACACGCAGTCCATTTCATACTCATGTCTCTGGATGAAATAGATGACCGACCCCACGTGATCAAATCAGTTCTATTACTAAAAAGATCACTGAGCTTCTGTCAACAGGAAACTTGCTAGTGCTACAAGGTTCCTGAAGTTCATAGGTTGCTGTCTGGTAATTGGTAACTTGATGACGCATCTGGGGTGCCTTATGGAGATTTGCATTATGTTAGGGCCCCTAGATGACGTCATAAAATTATCAGGCACCCTACCTCTCTCAAACTACTCTCAAACAATCTTGCTAGTGCTAGAAGCTATTTGCTTCAAGTGCATGCCCCTCAAGGCCGGTTTCTTGTTAGGAAGTCACCCCCGGGTTAAGCATAACGCCAAACTAGGGTAAACATTGCAACACGTTTACCCTGGAGTTAAAACCAACCCGGAGGTGACTCGCTATTAATAATAAGGCCCGTATTCATAGTCAATGCTCAAGGTTGCGTCTTGGCTCAAGTATGACTTGACGCCATATTTGCGTTTCCAAACCACGGAACGATGCTCACAACTGTCAAAAATCGGAGCTTGAGCCAAGCACCTGTCTATGAATACCGGGCTTATAGCCTAGTACTCATAACTGCGAAATTCGCATTTTTTTGACATTGCTTCGACAATTTGACGTTTGATGCACGCATAAAACGTCAAGTTGTCAACGCAATGTCAAAAAAATGCGAATTTCGCAGTTATGAGTACTAGGCTTATTAGTAGTATTCCTTTCAAGAGTGCAAATCACTAGGACTATTCGCTCCGGTGTTAGGAACGGTTTCTTATTAGCAAGTCACCCCCGGGTTAAGCAAGCATAACTCCAGAGTAAAGATTGCAACTGGAGACGCTTACCCTATAGTTAAAACCAATCCGGAGGTGACTCGCTATTGGGAAACCGGCCCCTAGTCGACCCCGATTTGAAAGGAACACATGCGCTGGCTTTCCAAGGATGATATACACACCTACAGGATTGCTTATCGGCCTCGTTTTTGGTAATCGCCGCCATATTGGTGTGTCACCATTTCCAACGTCATAACTAAGTCGTCAGCAATGTCGTCAGCTGCTTAAACAGCCTACGTCAAGGCGAGAAATAACATGCTACCTACGTCCAACTGGTGATTTGGCACGGTGGGGAGGGGTAAGGGAGGGGGGATTTACTTCACACAGGCGGCAGGCCTTATAAGCTAAGTCCTCATAATCGCGAATTGCGAACTTTTTTTCTGCGGAATTGTTCTTATTGGTCCAAATTATTTGAAATGAATGGTGAGAAAATCTCGCGAATGTTTTCAACTTCTTGCGGCATCGCAAAAAAGTTGAAATAATTTAACTTTTTGACGAATAATCTGGGAAGAAGTGAGGTTATGTTAGTTTATTCGCCAAAAGATTAAATTATTTTAAACTTTTTTGCGATGCCGCAAGAGCTTGAAAACATTCGCGAGATTTTCCCGCCATTACAATTTCAAATAATTTGGACCAATAGGAACAATTCCGCAGAAAAAAAGTTCGCAATTCGCGATTATGAGGACTTAGCTTTAAGCTTAATTCTCACTTTCGCGAAATTCGCTGTTTTTTGACATTGCTTCGAAAATTTGACGTTTGATACACGCATAAACGTCAACTTGTCGAAGATGTTAAAAAAAGAGCAAATTTCGCGCGAGTGCGAATGAGGCATTATGGGGATAGGCTATCCTGTAATAGTAGTGTGTATCATCATTGTTAGCTTTCTGCATTTAAATGGTTTGATTCGGGCTTGAGCACTTCACGTGCAACAAACACTTTTCGAAAGGAATAAACGCGTAACGCCCCGGAGCTGTTCCGGAGCTCCTCCTAGGTGTGAAAGGAATACAACGTTTGAGAAACCGACCCTCATACTACAATTTTTTTTCCCGGAGATGAAAAAAGCGAACTGTGAAATGGCCTTAAGAAATGCGGCCAGCCGGCGATGCCATTTTCCATAACCACTCTTCGAAGGAGCAAGAATAAAGCGGCGCCATCTAGTAACCCGACTTTATACTACTGTAGTGGGGATGATTACAGATTTCATCTATTTATTATTTATTTCTTTCCAGTTTGAACTATTGCGATTTCAGTCAACTAATTTTTCCTTCTTCCTGAGATTAGTCTATGTTTCTGAGTTCTTGAACTCATATTAATTAATATTTAAGTAAAAATGTTGTAGTATTCATGATTCACCTGATTTCAGTACAACCGTCTAAACATTAATACAGACAAGCGGCGCCGTGGCTTAGTTGGTTAAAGCGCCTGTCTAGTAAACAGGAGATCGTGAGTTCGAATCTCGCCGGGGCCTGACTTTATACTTTTTTAATTTTTTTTTCTCATAACAATAAATACCTAATTTAGAAAAATAGATATTATATTACAATCATCTTAGACAATCATTTTATCATTAGGCATTATGTTTCCAAATATTTTTCTATTTTTAAAACTTTTCTAAAAGTTCATTCAGACGCAATCATTAATTGTAAAGAACTATTTTCTTATTTTCATTAAACAAAAATCTCTAGTGTTTTAGATACCTAATTTTTTATTACGCATGGATCATAATCAAAGAGTATTATCGCACGCTGCAGCATGGATAAAATGATGTTTATGTCCGATTGATCAATAAAGTACTATTTATAGAACAGTTTTGCGTCAATAAAGTAGCACTTTATTGTACTAGTAAAATAAAGTGCTACTTTATTTTACTAGTAAAATAATTAAAGTGCTATTTTATTGCCTACCTGGACTACCTGATAAGGTGAAACAGGTCCTGACAACCTACCAAAGTGAAACAGGTCCTGACAACCTGCCAAGGTGAAACAGGTATATCTACGCGAATTTTACTTTTTTGTGCAACCATCC